GCAGCTGCCGCACGGACAGGCCGCTCGTGCCCTGACCTCTCCTCTGTCCTTGCAGCATGCCGCGGACATAGTGCGGGCGCTGGAGCTGTTTGTGAGGCCAGATGTGCTGGGGGGGGAGGACGCCTACATGTGTGCCAAGTGAGTGTGCGGGCTGTGGGTGGGAAGGGGCCTGCGCGTGTGCTGGTGGGAAGCAGGTGGGAAGCCTGCTGCGGTGCGGGAGGGGTTCTCTACCTGCTCCACGGCTGAACTGTGAGGCACGTGGCCACGGAAACCTGCGATGAAGCCTGCTGCTCCTCAGCTCCCTCTCCTCCTGAGGAGGACCTGGGGCAGCCGACGTGGCCATGAGCAGGTGCCCTGGAGCGGACCCTGGTGTCAGCAGGGTCATTTCCGTGGCATTTGCCGCTTGGCCAGGGCTGGCACTCGTCTGGGTGGTGGAACAGCTTGAACAGCTTGAGCTCTTCCTGTGCAGATGCAAGAAGAAAGTGTCGGCCAGCAAACGCTTCACCATCCACCGGGCCTCCAACGTCCTCACTCTCTCGCTGAAGCGCTTTGACTTCGGTGGAGGCAAAATCACAAAGGTGAGTGCTCGGCAATCCAGAGCTGGGGCTGTCTCCTGGCCCGAGGCCTCGCTGCCCAGAGCAGAGCGGGAGGTGGTCCTGCGCGCAGTGTGAGCTCTGCCACGGTCCTGCAGCCCTTCCCCAGCTGTGCGGTGGGAGTCTGGCTCATCCTGGCATCTTCCTCACCGTGACCTTGAGAGATGGGACTCATAGGACAGCTGAGCTGCTCTGGCTTTAGCAAGAAAGCCGTCTGCTGTGCAGGGTGCTGAGACATCCTCTCTCCGCAGGACGTGGGGTACCCCGAGTTCCTGAACATCCGCCCTTACATGTCTCAGAACAACGGGGATGCTGTCCTGTACGGGCTCTACGCGGTGCTGGTGCACTCTGGGTACAGCTGCCATGCCGGGCACTACTACTGCTACGTGAAGGTGAGCCCGGGCGCTCCCTTGGCACCCCTCTGGGCCAGGGGCTGCTGGTGCTCGGGGGGTCCCTGTAGGGTGCAGGGAAGGGGGTGCTCAGCAGGTGTGAGTGGTGTGGAGCACTGGATGAGGGGTACAGGCTGTGCTCTGCTGCAGGAAGTGTGGAGGTCTGCTCCTGCAGAGTCCCCTTGCCTGCCCTGGGCTGCCTGTGGGTGCTGGGGACAGGAGCTCTGCCAATGGGCGCTGCTCCTGCTGCTCTTCAGGCCTGGAGAGTCCCCGGACACAGCCTAAGCCCATTCTCTCTTCTTCCGCAGGCCAGCAACGGGCAGTGGTATCAAATGAATGATGACCTGGTCCGCTCAAGCAACATCAAAGTGGTCCTCAACCAACAGGCCTACCTTCTGTTCTACCTGAGGTGAGAGCACCTGTGTCTGCCGGCCCCTCTGCCCCTGCTCTCGGCCCTTGGGACAGGGCTGGCAGCACGTGCCCGGGTGTGGGAAGGAGCTCGGCCCACGTAGCCCTTGTGCCCGTGCATCAGCTCGGAGGAAGGTGGCAGGGAGAGGCCCAGCCCCTTGCCATGGTTTTGCTGTAGATCAAGGGTGCCTCACCTCCTCGGAGCTTCTGGCCCCTGTTTCTTGTGTGCGTTTCTGAGGAGAGCGTTCCCATCGCTCAAACCCTCGCAGCTAACGCATGCGCTTCTCTGCCTTCACCAGAATCCCCGGCCCCAGGAAGAGCTCGGAGGGGCCCATCGCCAAAGCTGCCTCCAGCCTGCCTGGCCGTGCTGGCAGTGTCTCTGGTCAGGTCAAGAACGCTGTGACCAACGGGCCCCTGTCTTCACCGCTCATGGGCCGGGTGAGTCCCGAAGGCTGCTCTCTGCCCGTGCTCCCAGGAGCTGGGAGCTGTGGCTGCTCCGGCTGCGGTGCCGGG